CTGTTACAAATAAATTTGACAAGAGTTACAAGTATAGCTACTTCTCTTCTAGACGTGATGCAATGAAAATATAGTACAAATTTGATTACAAAGACTATATACAAAATTTACAATGAAGATCTTCATTGTAGTGCTTTAGCTTTGTTCTTGAAGCTTTTGATCAATTTGAACTGCTCAGTGAATGTTGAATGTTTATGTACAATGCCCTTTTTTTGGTATGTGTGTTCTCAGATTCTCTATCTGTAGTATGGAGGCTTGATTCTTATATAATAGTTTTAGAGAAGATGATCGTTACAACAATGTTCAAATTTCTTTATGAGTTACTTCATCTGTCTTCCTAGCTGATCTTAGAGAGTATTGTTGATGCATTTAATGCTTGCATTAAATGCTTATTAGAGATGTGTGTCTCTCTTATCTGATCCAAGAAACTACTTATCATCATTTCTTTCCATTTTGAGTGTACTAGAGTAGTGTCAGCATAGAGCCATTTAGGGTTTAGGGTTTATATATTTATGAGTTTAGGGTTCAGAGTTGGGGTTGGGCTGATATATTTTATTTTAAAAAGTGTTGTCTTTTGCTTAACCAAAAGCTTATGTTTGTTATCATTAAAACTAAAAAGGATCGTCAATTGTCTTAAAACAAGATTTTTTATTTAACACATCCACTTCCTAACAAACTATGCATGAATACATGGACTTAAACACATAACACAACACATAAAAAATACAAAACATACATATCACACTTATCACACTACTAGGCCAAGCTCAGACTTTCAATTGTCTAGACTACTATCTAGACTTCACAAATGAAAAAGTGTAATTTGGATTTCACACTACTAAGCCACTGCTTATTAGACCTACTCACATAACTCATAACCCAAAATCTCAAGCACGAAATGTCATAAATTTAACTTTCACAAATTTTTGTAATCTCTCATTCATAACTCATTACTCATTCATAGTTCCTTCATATTCTTTTTTAGTCTCTTAAATCATGATAGTAAACACACCTCAAAGCTAAAAACCTCAATAGAAGGATAACAAAAATTCTACACCAAGGAGATTCTTTGAGCGACACAATTTCACTGACCAAACTCCCACACCAAGTTCACTTTTGTTGAGCGAGAACTCCCTCCCGCTTAGTGAATTAAAATTATACAACCTTCCAGTGGCTCACTCTCACCATGAAGCACCTTCTCTTGACAACCCAACTCGCAATATAAACTTTTGTTGAGCAAATGACTTTTTCTTACCAAATTAAAGGGCCACACTTTAGGGGCCAAAGCTCATTGAGCAAAATCACTTTGCTTGGCAATCCAACAATATTAGTTCTTTATAGGAACTTAGTCTTATTGAGAAACTTGGTCTCCTTGAGCAAACATTCAAATTTTTCATCATTTTTATTAAGTGGGTACTATCTCACTGTGCAAAAACATGACGGCAAACCCAAAAGTTCATCATCTAGAACTATCTCACTGAGCAAAAACATGATGTTGGACCCAAAAGTTCATCATCTAGAATTTTAATCTCACCAAAAATTTGTTCTTAACACTATTAATCCAAAATAATCGTTGAAACACTACCAAATCCCTTATGTAATAATTATATGCCCTCAATTTAAAATCAAACACTTAAATCAAACAAACCCTTAGATCACACATGAATCCTAATCCCTGAAAGAGGCAAAGACATGAAAAAACTCAAATCAATACAATTATGCATAAAAATCATAATAACATTCAAATAACAACATTCAATCCAAAATACACATAATTTCATCAAGTGTATACAATAGGAAACCTAAAAAGGCTTAGGGGTCACCTCACTACCCACAATCCTTATACATGTGCACAAGTGAGACAATCTTACTATCCTTCTTACCTTGAATGTTGATCACCAAGCCTGTCAAAGCACAATTCATGATTATGTTCTCCATTGCTCATCTATCATGAATTCTTTAGTATAAACTAGGAATGTCAATGAGATGAGGCGGGTACAAGTAGTAGTCTCTCGCTACCCATCCCACTGAATAAATATCCTCTTCATACCTGTCCCCATATACATGTGGGTGTTCGTTAAGTGGGTACTCGCGTATTTTTTAATATTCGCGAGTGTCCATAGATATCTGTGGATATTTATTTTGAAAAAATAAATAAATTTTTTCAAAAGTATTTTAATAATAATTTCTATTTATTCTAATAATTTCTTTAAAAATAATAGTTTAAAAGTCAAAACTTAAATTATTCAAATATTATACATAATTTTATTAATCAAGATTCTTCAATTTAAAAACTAAATTTAATTGTTAAAGTACTTTATTCTCATAAGGTTTAAAAAATTTAATAGGTAATTATATAATTGAATATTAGTGGGTATCCATGGGTACAAATAATATGATATGCGTACCCGTCCCATTAATGCACGAGTATAGAGAATACATGTATCATTTTCTCTTGGATACTCATTTATAATATTCATTTTTTTATCTATAGTAGATTTTATCTTCAGATATCTGCGAGTATAAATTTTTTTTTTGATATTCCTAGTTTAGACCTAAAAGGCTTTTTAAGATTAATTCTTAGGCATATAAGAACAAAAAAAAAAAAACTCAATAAAGCTTCTTAAAACTAATTGGATCATTAAAATTCTTTTATTTAAAAAATCATTTGATTATTAAAAGACATTTAAAAGTCCAATTATTTCTTAATTATTTATTTGTAAAAGCAACTAAAATATATAAAATATTAATTGATTACTATATTTAGAAAAATCAAGGTATTACATTATATGATGCAACTAAAGCATGTAAAAATACATCACATATATCAAACATAGAACACATAATTACGTAGGGCATGACATCCTTTTTTATGAATGACATGAAATCATTTTGTAACTATGTATTTTTTCCATTCGTATCACACCACAGTAGGGGAAAACCTTTAATCATTAAGCTCATGTGTTCCAAATCATACAATCACATGCAAGCAGGAAAAAACATATATTTGTCGAACTATTATTCACATTTGACTAGTTCATGTAGAAAAATCACTAAAAATCATAGAAACTTTGAATAAAACGGGACCACATTGATTTGAAAGCTAACATTGAAACTATAGACCCTAAAGGTTTTGATTAGGTTCACTTAACATCAATACCAGTGCTAGTCTTAATCCAAGGCATTACACAAGGCAAAATTCATCATCTCTCTTATATATAGCTTGAAATTTTTAACTTTCCTTACACTTGGACGTATAGTAATTAAGAGACTTGGGCAAACCATTTTTAGGCACCTCTAAAGTATATCCCAATAGAATAAAAAAATATAATAATAAAACTCCAACCAAAGGCCTGAGTATAAAACACCTCAATTTTGCATAATCATTAGTCATATAAAAATTTTCCCTGTACTTTTATCAAAGAACCGGCCCCACTAATATATTCACCAAAAATTTAAAAATATCTATAAAAAATGTGATCACTTGAATTTGAAATATAACATTACATTAGATTTAAATATGGCAGAAAAACTAGTGAGTTTCTCTTAGTTGACGTCTGTTATACATATCTCTAACAATAGTATAAACATGTACAATTGAAGAAAAAGGCTACAATATATAACCTTTGATTCATTAGCTAGCTAGAAACAAATAAAAGTAGCTATTGGTTGTACAACATATAATAAACAACTATTTTAACACTATTTCATAGTTAGAGTATACAAAATTGTATTCACCAAACTTAGAACATATAAACTATAAATTCTAAGTCCTCTTACATACTTCGGTAGGATGTCAACAAGATTGGTCATTGGAGTTGATAAACTCAATACAAAGCTCTTTGGGCAACAATTTTCCCTAGACAAAATGACAATCAATATATTTTATACTGATTTATCTCTATCACTAAGACTATATCTATTTCTTGATCAACAAATCAAGTTTCACTATACTAAGCTTTGTTCAAATAAATATTCTTTTACAAATAGCTTTGCAAAGCTAACCCAAACATTCTTTTAATATAATGTCTTTTTTGACTTTACAAATAAAATATTCATTAAGTTACAAGCCTTTTCAAGCTTTCCAACCTATAAGATTTTAAGTAATGACTATATATATTACATAGTAAGAGTAAAGAGAAAATTGGTATGATGATATTTTTCTTAGATGTTACAAAGTTTTTCTTCAACTAAAGTTATTTTATCTTCAAGAAGATGCATTCAATATTCATACCATCATTTGAATAAGTAAATGGTGCAAAATCTTCTTCACTCACCCTACATGTAGCTTTTCTGATTGTTTCGTCTATTCTAGTTTTGAATGTCGGTGAATTCTATTACAACACTTTATTACTTCCATTTAATGTTCCTCCATACCAAGTAACTTATCTGTTAGAAAAATGTGCTTATTCTGCCTTGATAAGAGAAATAAGCTTTAGAAGTTGTTAGAGGCAGACTTCTTTTCTAGAGACACGATACTTATGCAAACAAGTTGAGCCAATGTTTGTCTTGTAGTGCATTAAGCTTCGTTCTTAAAGATTTTGTACTTCCTCTCTATGAATTTTTTATCACTATGAAGATTTCATTCTATTATTTTGCAAGGGAACAATTTAAACAACTATCAATTCACTAAATAAGCATTTAATATGGTTTGTATAGCTTCGTCTATAACACACGATACTTGCAGACTAAATGTATCAAATTAATAAAACATAAATACTTCAACTGAATAAATTAACTTTACATATTGTGCATCAAAAATATAGTTCTGTAACATTCAAAACACAAAATTAGTTGGGATAATAATTCTTCCTTTGAAATAACAAGTTATTTTGCAACGATTAAAATAATATTTCACTATAACTAAAAATATAGTTGGTTCATCTTCAAAAAAAAATAATAGATGCTTTAAAATGATTATGAATATGAATATGAATCATTCATTTTTTTTAATTGATTTGTCTATCAAAACATATGTTACTCGATCTGCTTGTGTATAGGAACATAATGGAGTTGAAAGCGGCAGGGATTGAAGTGAAGTCAAGCAACACACCTTGGCCAGGTGACATAAGATTTTCCCTTGGTTGGCTTCGTTCAAAATTGGTTCTTCCAGAGATCGTTGTGAATGAAACTACAGCTGCTAATTTACTTAACTTGATAGCGTATGAGATGTGTCCTGATTTTGAGAATAACTATGAGATTAACGATTTTGTCTCCTTCTTGGACACACTGATAAACCACCCTGATGATGTCAAGGCATTGAGATCAGAACAAATTGTGCTTAACTATCTAGGGAGCGATGAGGAAGTGGTGAACCTTTTCACTACCATAAGCTATAACTTGGCTCATGACATGGGGAATTATTTTATTACCAGAAATCATATTGCTATGCATTTCGTCCATAAAACTTTACCGACATGGTTAGCTCTTGGGTATCATACTTATTTCAGCAACCCTTGGGCAATCATTGCCTTCCTCGCCGCAGTTATGGGTCTTTCCCTCACTTTTATCCAAACTTGGTATGCCATTCACCCACCAAAATAGCTACTCATCATGGCCTTGCCTAATATAATAGTAATAATTGATAATTGATGTAATTAAAGGTGATTAATGTTGAATCTTGAAACGTGGCAAGATGATGTGTTATAAGTGGATTTATAACAAAGTAAATTTGAGTGAGTTATGAAATTACTATATATTTGTATTAGTTTATTTTAGAGAACTTTTATTTTACTTTTATCCTTTTAAAAAAATTTTATTACTTTTATAATTTGAAGGTGGTTGAAATTATGGTAAGGTCAATGAAGGTCTTAGAAGTAATAAATGAATTATCTTTTAGCCTTTATGTTCGATTTTGGTCACCATTGTTGATAAAAAAAATCAAGTAAAAGTTCATCAATTTATTTATGTATAAAGATGAATCCAAAATTTGTTTAAAATAGTCAATTTTTTAAATAATAAACATTAAATACATTACTTTATTTAAGTCATACATGTTATTCCTCCAAATCATAAAAATCATCAAGTATTGAATCCATACCAAACTTTTCAATAATATTTCTCTTCATGTTAATAATCAAACAAATAGCCATAATTAATTCATCATTCATCTTATTTCCAAGCTTATTTTCAAAAATTTAATAGCTAAAAAAATCTCTCAATTGAAGTAGTTGAAATAAGAAGAATTAATTCCAAAATAATTAAAGAATCAATTAAATGATAAGTTACAAATTTTCTTAATAAGGATATACCATATTACAATAAATCCCAAAAAAAATATAAAGAAAATAGGGTCATAAGACTCGTAAAAATTTTCTTAATAAGGATAGGTGTGTTTTAGATATATTAGTATTATAATCAACAATCCATATTATTTATCAATAACTAATGAAATTAAGATAAATCAAATGAATTAATGTTTAAATTTTAGTCATTTATAATCACAATTTCTAACATTGAATGTGATCATAGTTTCAAACAACATTGTTCAATCAGTGTTTGGCTATTGCTTCAAAAGCCCAAATTACCATAAATAAGGAATGAAAAGTATGGTCGATAAATGATGGTGTAGTTAAAGTTGATTTAATCATATATAGCCAACATGTATGATGAAAGTCTTAGATCTACAATGAATAGAAAACATATTGAAGGTGAAATATACACTAAAAAGGGGATTGAATGTGTGAAAATATTCACAAATTTTTTGAAAAGGTTGAATAAACAAATGTAATTTCGTAAAGTATTAACCCAGGAAAATGTGAAGGAAAAGGATATTTTAAAATGTTTTTGGTTTTTATACTAGTTTACTCAACTAAGCTACATCCAGTTTGCTTCTAATAGGAAGGGTTTCACTAACCACAAATATTACAACAAGTATTATTAACTATCCCTAAAACTTTAAACTTAGTTTACACAAGTATTTTTTATGGAGAAAAGAGAGATACTAGAAGGGGTTTTAAATAGTGTCAATAAAAAATTCACACTTTTCAAAAATAATGAAGTAGAAACTTTATGAAAAAGTTTAGATGAAGATAAGAAACTAAACATAAAGTATTTTTATACTGGTTAGTCTCAACCATCGAGACTACATCTAGTTCTTAATGCAACCAAATCAAGTTTCACTATCTTATGCAAAGATACAAGTATTCTTTTACTAAGCCACTTTTGACTCAAATCTAAGTGTTCTTTGACTTGCCTCTCCAATCAACTATCCAAGTATTCTTTTAACACAAAGTATTTCCAACCTTTAACAACCAAGCATTCTCTTACAGACAAACATCTTTAGGCTCAAACAACCTAGTATTCTTTTATAGACAAGTTTCTCCAAGTTCAGCAACCAAGTATTTTTTTATAGACAAGCCTCTACAAGCTCAAATAACCAAACATTCTTTTACAGACAAGTCTTTATAGGCTCAAAGCAATAACATAGTTAAAAGTTAGATAAGCTAACAGTATGATGGAAACCTAATTCCCAAGGATCCCTTTGGAAAAGATTAGTCCAATAATGGTGAAGGTTAATAAATTTGGTTTGAAGAATTGTAGGATACTTACCCTTACTTTGTAAGGTACCATACCTTTGGGGGTCTATCCTACCTTAGAGAGCTCTTACAGTAGTTATTGTATTTAGATATTTTTAGCCTTATATTTTGGGTCAAGTAGTGTAGGTAATTTTTTCCTTGTATTGTTTTTACTTAAGGGGGTAATTAGTAGTTTAGAGAAGATGTAACTAGCTAAAGTCACGATAGGCTTATTGGGCTTGGATGGCCCAAATATTTTTATGACCCATAGGTTTGGACGTCCACTTGCTTATGAAAGTGGTTAGGATGTCCAAACCAAGCTATGCTTGCCATCCAAGTTACAAATTAAGTCACATGGCTTTCATAGTGACATCTTAACAACTTGTTAAAATTAATCATTAGTTTAGTAGTTATAATGATTAAGTTAGGTAATTGGAGTTAACTTGAGCTAACTTAGGTTATTCTTAAACTAGCCCTTTTTGGTTTTTTTTTAAATATGTTTCATATTGACATGCCAAAGCTTTTTGTGCTAAATTCATTTTCATCTTCTCTGAACACTTAACATTTTACATTCTATTTGCTCAAACTAGTCAAATTAATCTCAGAGATTATTCTTTCTTTGAGCAGTAAAAAAGCACAGGACCATCGTCTTGTTTGACTATGCACGCATTTTTGTCACAAACTACAGTGGAACCACTATCACAAAATTGACTTATGTTAAGTAGGTTATACTTTAGACCTTCAACATATAAAACATTATTTATAGTAGGTATATAATCTTCACTTATCTTACCTATATCTTTGATTTTCCCTTTTCCACTTCCAAAGGAGAATGATCCTTCATGTGGTTGAAGTTTTAGGAACATAGACCTTTCTCCCGTCATGTATCATGAGTAGCCACTGTCTAGATGCTAGTGTGAATCCTTCCTTATTCCTATTAAGGATATCTGCAACAAAGATTATTTGAGATTTGGGTATCCAGGTTTTCTTAGGTCCTTTCTTGTTAGTCCCCATGCCCTTGGTCTTATTCCTTCGTCTTCCTAGAGTTTTACCTCCTTTTTTCATTGGCTTCACAAAGGGAAGCCTTGGGTTTGGCTTGAGATGTCCCTAATCCAAGTTCAAAGCCAATACCACTTTTGCCAAATAGAAGTCTTCTATGCTTTAAAAGCATGTTCAACTTAGACGATTTGTCACCAAACTTGGCTAAGTTCTTCCTAAGTTGTAGGTTTTTAGCCTCCAATGTTGTAACCTCAAGAGGGACAAAGTTGGTGATCTTGTCCTTGAGAGATTGTCTCTCCTACAACGTCTAACATGTTTTTCCTCTATTTCAGATATTCTTTTTCAAGAATCTTTTTTTTTTTTTATTTTAGTTTCTTGTACTCGAGGGAGATCATGTGAGAGTTAGCCAAGAGAGTCTAATAGGACATCTCATCATCATTTAACTCAAGAGAATAGCACCTTGAGTTAGTTTTTATCTTGGTGTCAATAGCGTCTGACTCAGTGTCTTCCATGATACATATGTTGGCCTTCTCATCGTCTGAGCTACTGTTATTGCCATTGTCCAGATCTTCTCAAGTGATCATTAAGCTCTTTTTGGCCTTATTTTTGAAGGACCACCTTTTTCTTTGAGACATGCAATTAGTCTTCATGTGACTAGGGTTCTTGCCCTCGTAGCAGACAACCCCGCCCGTTGTTGTTAATCTAACTTAGCTTCCTGAATTTTTCCTTCTTTTGTGGAAGTTTCTCAGTCTTCTTTTTTTCTTTAGCATGTCCTTGAACTTTTCATACATAAGAGATATCTCATCATCTGTAGAGTTCTCAAAACTTTCATATGAGCTTCTAAACTTAGATTCTACTTTCAGAGTTTTCCCTTTTCTCTCTATTCTTGTTGGTCTCACCACCCTTCAAAGTAATAGGGTCATTTGCTTTAGGATGATCTCTGTTGTTCAAATGAACCTTGTGAACTCGTAGAGCTCCAAGAATTTCATCAAGAGTGAGAACTTTAAGGTTGTATGTTTCTAAGATGGTTATTCCTTCAGGCTCCTAGATCTTTGGAAGACTATCCAATATCTTGAGATTGTTTTGAGCTTTGGAGAACTTAATTTCAAGTGATTTTAACCCATTTAGAATTGTTTGGAATCTTCCAAACATTTCATCAATGAACTCCTTCATGAAGAACAACTTATAATGTCTCTAAAGTGTAGTAGCTCGCTTGAGCCTTACATCTTCAGTATCCTCAGGAGTTACCCTAATGGCATCCCATATTTCCTTACCCCTTAAGTAGCTACAAAACTCATTATACTTCATTCTAGACAAGGAGCAAGCAAGGATGTATCTTACTTTAGTGTTGAGTTGCAATATGTTGTAGTCATCCTAAGTGTATTAACTCTCATGCTTGGTAACAAAAACATCACTTCGAGTGATGATTATATAGGGGTGTGTTGTGCACCGGGGGTTACCACACACATACACATGTCTCCACATTGGTAAGATATTGTCCGCTTTGGGCCCAAGCCCTCACGATTTTACTTTTGGATAACACCCAAAAAGCCTCTATGAGATATTATGTGTATATAAACCCATGTCCATCCTCTTGTTTGAACGATGTGGGACTTTACTTGCATCCCAACAATCCTCCCCCTAAACAAAGGACCATGGTTTACCCCCACCCCTGCAGCGAAAACTACGAGTATTATCCGATGATGGCCCATAGAGCTCACTCACACTCTGACTCACACTCTGAGTGCTTGCACCACTGCTCTATCATGACCTCCCTCATAACAACAGGATACGCCTCTTAACCCTCTACCGTTTAGGAAGACTTTCGACATAAGGGATCCCAAACTTGGATCCACCTGCCATCCATCATACTCGTCGAGTCGGTCACCTCAGACCATCGACTCTGATATCACTTGTTGTGCATCAGGAGTTACCACACACATACACATGTCTCCATATTGGTAAGATATTATCCGCTTTGAGCCCAAGCCCTCACGGTTTTGCTTTTGAATACCACCCAAAAGGCCTATCTGAGATATTGTGTGTATATAAACTCATGTCTATCCTCTTGTTTGAACGATATGGAACTTTACTTGCATCGCAACAGGGTGGTATTGGGTGGATTTGATGAACATCTCCATTCGATCCTTCCAATATGGGTAGTCCTTTCCATTAAAGATAGGAGGTCGTATGAGAGAGGCTCCTTTTGGTAGGTACTAGCATTCACTACTTCCCATAGTGGACCTTTTTCCTTTGGCATGATTAGATGCTCAATCCTATCAAAGGTTGAGCTTTGATACCAAACTACGAAGAAAAGATAAACACTATAAGGGGAGTTGAATAGTGTATATCAAAAACTCACACTTTTTACATAGTAAAGTAGTAGCGCCAGTCAAAGGGAGTGAAAAGAGATGTCAAATGAAACACTAGATATTTTTACACTGGTTCATCTCAAGTACCGAGGCTACATCCAATTCTCAATTTAATCAGATTGATTTTTATTGTCTTTCAACAACGATACAAGTATTCTTTCAACAAGCCACTTCTAGTTCAATCCTAAGTATTCTCTAACTTGCCTCTTTGATCAACTACCCAAGTATTCTTTTAACAACAAGTCTCTTTAGACTTAACAACCATGTATTCTTTTCAACCAAGCCTCCTTAGGCTCAAATAAGTATTATTTTATAGACAAGCCTCTTCTGACTCAATCTTATAATGATATTGTATTTATCTTACTTAGACGTTATACAACCGGTATAGAGTAGTAGGCTTTTACCAAAATTAATAAGGATTGTACATAAGTATAATTTACAAAAAAAAAAGTGTTTCTTTGTATGTCTCTGTACAAGTCTCTTCTTTTTGTGTTCTCTATCTTTTTTGAACTTCGAATCTTGTTATATAATAGCTTGGAGAAGATGATGGTTGCAACATTTTGAGTTCAACTCACAAGTTTGTTTTGTCTGTCTTCAATGTCTTTCCTTGAGATGGGAGGTAATTGTTGATTCATGTAATGAAAGCATTAAATATATTTCACTAAATGGTATCTCTTATCTGATCAAACTATACTTATTATATTTTTATACCAAAGTAACTTGCAGAAGCAATGTCAACGTAGTGCAATAGTAGTGACTTTACCTGCTTTTCTTTGTGATTTTAGGAATCTTCATTATTGGACTTAATGGAAAGCATGATCTCATTCTCTTTAATAAATTTGTGAGTTCCAAAATAAATTTTTAGTTTGATCTGTTAAAGAATAAGAGATTCAAAATGAATTTTGTCGTATCAATAAATAATGAATATGAGATAAACTATATGCTTCATTTGATTTATATTATCTTATAGATAATCTGTCTTATACCATGTCTAATAAGTATTTTCAAAGATATTTCAAATACGTTTTTGAAGACATTTTCTCTTATAAAAATATTTTATTTATTAGCATTAAAATTCTAAAGCTTAAGAGATCCAAAATCTTTTAACTTAACAATAGAGATCAAATCATGCTCTTAACCACTCTCACACCACCCGACAACCCATAGTGATACTTGGCATCACACCATAAATCACAATTATGCAAAGAACATGAAATTGCATACAACAAGATACGTACTTTGAATTACATATTATAATTGGTAAAAAAACACTCCTCGAGTCAAAATGTGTCCATAACTTAACAATTTACTCATTCATACAAAATATTTCAGTTATCCTTCATTAACCCAATACATTATTTATCTATAACTTAACAATTTACTCATTCATACAAAACATTTCAGTTATCCCTCATTAACCCAATACATTATTTCTCTAGATTTCTATAAGAACCTATGAACAATCAAAGATTCACTAGATTAGTAATTACACACAAATATAATACCGATGAATCACATAAAACATTGAAATGTGAGTTATGATCATAAATTGAGATGATTACATACAACAAAGAAAAATATTAGAGATTAATCCCACCATTCAACATATAACTCACACCTAAAAAATACTACTCATACTTCCTTACACGAACACTTAAATACAACGATCTCATGATAGGCCTGTAAGTAGTTAAAGAGCGGGACACACTCATTATTTGTTACTCACTTTGAGTTCTTTATGCTCTAGAAGAAAAAAAAATCTTTACTTTCTGACATACCCTTTCCCGTACTAAAAGATATTTAAACTTTGAAGGATTTTATCCTAAAAGAATTTTAATACCCCAAATAATGACATCAAATATTATTAAACGCAATTTAATAATTAAATAAATAAGCCAGTTTAACAATTGGTTACATCGTAAATTTGACACCGACTGTTGCCGAATAAGTTAATGGTGACAAATGTGGCTAGGATTTACAACTCAGAATCTAAATACGTTCTCAAATCCTTAACCGGGTAATTTGCTCAACACAACGGTGTTGGTGCCATTTTGATTACACGAGACATTGATAAACATCTACCATAATATTAGCAATGTGTTATTACATATTGATTCCATGTTCTTATTGACATAAGTATAGGCTGAGCCAAAGTAGTTTATACATGGTATAGATAACGGTTTGGAACCGATACATCTTTAGATGAACATCCTCTAATGCAGGTTATTTGGTCCTGAATGAAGCTGATATGTCCTGCTCGGAACAACTTGAAGAACACCTGGTAGCTCTGCACAATGTAAATCAGTAAAAATTAAATTGTCAAGCAACAGTATGCACAAAAGAACACAGGAAGAGATAATGTTTGACCATATATAATCAAGATTAGTAATTCAGTAACTGTGTGTGTTTGAATATAAGTTTAAAAGGTATGTTTGAATCTAAACTTGGATACACTTTTGAGAATTTTTCTATTGAAAAAAAAAATGTGCAAGTCACAATTAGTTTTGATTATAAAATCAGGTGCTTCGGTCCTTGTCTTTTCTGATCATTTAGTAAATAACTTTTTACAGAGTCAAGCTTTTCAAGTCATTTGGCAAATAAATTGTTACCAACAAGACGAGGGTTTTAATAATTTTGTGAGTAACATTTTACAAAGTCTTAAACTAGATGAGGGTTTAGAAAAGACAATAAAGACAGATATAGATTTACAACAATAAAGAACGGTAAAAAGACAGATTTAGATTGGTATAGTCAAGAACGGACTAAAATGTCTGATGCTTACAATCTTAAGAACTAACATGAATTATGAAGGTTTATTCATTGGTATAGTCAAGTAAAATATTCAAAATAGATGTGACAATAATCTTATGATAGAGCAAAAAGACAGATTTAGATTTACAACAACAAAGAACGGTAAGAATAAACCACTTCAGAGTTGAGAACCGACAAAGACTCCCAGCACACTGCAATTTTGAACCCTTTGCCCACATGCAAATGTATGGTGTGAGTGAGTGCGAATGGATAAAAAAGAAGTGGCTGAGACGACTGAAAAATGAATAACTAATTAATGATGCACAAAGAAGGAACTTTGCTAATGTAGAACTGTTATAGGAGGAACTTCACCGGTTCATCGCTCTAAATAAATATTACTATAAACAATTGGAACACTTGTTCCCATATTCACTTCCCTAACTAAACTTCCTTAATTTAGATACGAACACTCAACTTATGGTTTCTTATTCTTAAATATTAGATTAAGATTTGTACTCTTCCCTTCATCTGCCCCTAGATACGATAATCATGACTCCAATAAAGCCAAAATTCTCTGTATGTTCATTCAGGACTCATCATAATCTTTAGATTGCTATGATTGCGATGAACAACTTTCAAAGCATGGAAGGGAGAAATTTGTGGAAAGTGGAAACATACATGCAGGGCACACAGCTGAGAAGTCTCATGATTAAGTAACATCGTGGGAAGCAAGAGCATCACGAAAACCTCAGGAACTTGATTGAGGTTAACAAAATGGTTCATGTTCTATCAGTTCATTGTTTGAAACCCTTCTCATGAAAGATATCAGAGCATAAAAGAACATCACAATAGTGTTTCACAAAAAATTCCAAGAACAATGCTAACGGGGATATGGGGGGTCAAATATATGAATGAATACGGAGGCACCAGAAACTAATCTGCCATTGATATTAAAAGCCCGTTTAACTAAGGTTGTCCGGGAAGAAAAACTAAAGAATGCAGTTTGAATAGGCTTATTTTGTGTTCCAACCAATTTGCAATAAAAACGGTGCAATGGGAGCATTCATTCAGCTAAAAAACTACTTCTGCATAAAATTAAGCAAAATCATAGATGCATGTCACTTGCTATTTTATCTCTTTTTTATAATGGGATAGTTAAAATTTTATCAGTGTAATCATTGAAGTAAACCCAGTGATAGTGTGATACATATGTAAGCAACCACCAGTTTCTAGCTAGACCAAGATCTAACTACTCAACCCAAATCAACAGGAATAACTTTTTTCTTCAAATAAACATTAAATAAAATCTTGTAATAGTAACCATACTACAAACTACTGTAAATCAAAACCCAAGAACAAAGATATCAGACACTCGTCTGAAACACAAATATTGCTTAAATGCTAACATCAACAATTAGCATAAAAGAGCCACTGTACAAGATCCACTGTACATCAAGGAATTTGAAAAGGAGAGAAATCATTAACCAGAAGGGTAAAAAATAAAATAACATAAATGAACCATATTACCTCCAGAGTTTAAAAAAGAGGGTAAAATGAGCAATAAAAAAAGATTAAAAATCAAGCAAACTTACTTGAAATCTGTTCAACCTGCTCCTGAGTAAGCTTAGCAGAGAACCCACTAGCTGCAGACTTATAACTATACAACAAAGCTTCCTTCGCAGCATCCTCACTGCAAGTGCAATCATTGATCAATCAAACAATTACACAAACGAAAAAAAAAGTCCGGTTTATGAAGTTCCTCAGATGAAAACTATAACCGCAGATAGATGAATTCTTAAAAATGTAAAATTTTTACCCCGGCCCCTGAAAAACACAAATAGTAGTCCTTAAAAGAAATATTATGTAAAGATTAATATGACCAATTTCACTAATCTTTAAAAGGTAAATAGTTACCGAAGCACGATTTTTTCCTCTGACTTCAAATTAGTCCTTTTAAAAAAAATAAAATAAAATCCTCCTAGAATTATCAGAAAGTCAATCTTGAAAAGAGAATTTAAAAAACAAAAGAAGACTAATTCAAAGTCAGTTACAAAATTGGAAGTATAATTTTTTAGAGCAAAAATCTAAAATTTACAATAACAACTCAATTCAGCCCCAACCTAAACATGAATTTTAAATCAACAGTGTTACTATAGACGACAATCTATAACTCCGATGACAATTTCAATATATTCCAATTAAATTCTACAAACCCACCAATCCTAAAAAAAGTAGAACCTTGCACAAAGGTCTGGTGAATTTTCTTAAGAAAGCACTAACAAAATACTCTTTAGGATTGGACCAAATTAGGTCTCGTGAATATTTTAAGAAAATTACCGTTTATTCAAAAAGGCATACAGAAGGAAACAGAAGCACGTTGAATAGCAGAATTTAGCGGGAGAAGAAGGGACGTACCTGCCGAGGACAGCGGAGAGGGTTCGGATGTGGTAAGCCTCAGGCTCCTCGTCCTGTGGACGCTCGGTGTAGACGATGTGAACCGCAGGGGAAGAGGCGGTGGCGTGCTGGTCGAGGGGTTTGGCGGCGGAATCCGACATGGCGATGCAGAGCAGAGAGAACAAAACGAGGATCGCGAGTTTGGAGAATTTGAGAATGGGCATGGCGTGGTTTTGTTTTGTTTTGGGGTTTTATAAGGAAGAATCAAAGGAATGCACACGAACACGACTTTTCAAAGCACTTTTTGCTTAAGTATGAAGCCAATTCTTGTTGAATCGCGACAACGCGTTGCCTTGGTGTCACCGAACTTTTTTGCCACTTGGCTGTGATCTGCCAATATTATCTTGTAATAAATAGAGTATCACATTATTTTTAAACTTAATTATTTTTTTTAATCATATATATATATTACTTTAATTATACATATTTTTTAGTTTTGAATTATTATAATTGTAAATTTGTACTTTGAGATACGTATTTAACTATTTGTTAATTTCAAAGACTAACATAATGATGTCTTCAAAAATTAGGGTCAGTTTGAGTATTTACAATAAATACTCATATTTGTTCCATCGGGACCTGTATATATAAAAACTTAATTTCTTACGAGTTAAAAAAATAGTTAAATATATTTATGTTTACAACTTTATATATAAAGTATATATTATATTTTAAAAATATTTTAATCACATTTATTATGAATAAAATTTATATTTATTGTCTTAATAATAAGAACATTGATCGAGTATTTAAATTTAATTTTTTTTAGTAATCTCTCATATTTTTAATGTAATATATAATGATTAACATTTATTTTATTAATAAGTCTTGTTTGCATAATTTGTTTAGATTTTTTATTTCCAAATATCATATTAATACAAGACTTAAGTATAAATGAATATTAAAATTTAATAATTAATAGATGTCAATTTAATAAAAAGGTTCAAATTTTATATCTTTTAAATTATAAAAATTAAATATCTTTATTTTAAAATAAAAGAATTAAAATTATAAATTAACAAAAATAAAGAGAAAAAAATGCAATTTAACATACAATATTACAAGGGTTTAATAAATTGTATAGTCAAGTATTTTATGCGGCAAGTTTAAGCAATGCAACAAGTTCCATCAAAATAAATGGGAAAGGAAGTGTTGATGATGAAAAGAAGGAAGCAGGAAAAAAAAAGTGTTGATAAGACTAAAAAACATATACAAAAATAATCAAATAAATTATAGAACAAAAAAAAACTCACATATTAATTAAAATGAGAAATTTATAGGTGTTTAAATAAAAATGTAAAAGAAAAAAATGTAAGGAGTAGAACTAAAATATAGAGATTATCCAAATATACATGTCAGAATATAATAATAATATAAATATAAGCACTAAAATGTAAAATGTAACAAAAATTAAAGTCGGTTATCATCTATCATTAACAATATTAACTTTTTTTAACAATAAAAACTAAAATATAATTTAAAAAACTTGTATAAAAACAAAAAAAAAAAAAACTAATTTTTAAGTATAAAAATTAAAGGATAAAATTTACACAACTATAAAAACTAGATTAATACTAAAAAGATATTAAAATTGCACAAGAAAATGTACGATTATATTTTTAATAATAAAAAAATGTATTTTTATTCCTTAACTAATGCCGTGAGACAATAGTGAACATTTTTCCTAAAAAATATGAACATATTTTAATTAAATTTAAATATATTTAGTTCATGAAAAATGATGATTTTTAATTTTCATCTCTACAAAATTTTATGCTTAAATTGTCTTTAATTCTTAATCTTCAAATTAATTTTTTTAATTTTTAAATAGACAATTTTGGTTTACTAATTTTAAAAGTTTTGCAATTTTGATCTTGTCATCGCATGCTGCCCGCTTAAATTTAGAAAATCTACTCGTGTAAAAAATTTTAATTGAGTGATATTTCATGTTGTTGTATAATTGAAAGTGGCATAACTACCACCCTAAAAATTATATATTAATTCATTATAAGTGTACAAATTTGACTGTTGAATATATTTGAAATGATATTTTATATAATAAAATTATGTGTAAATATAATATAAGATAAATATATTGAGTTATATATAAGATATGATAAGTGTCATTATATGTATCATGTATAAATATTGATGTAATATATTAAATATGTATTTATAATTTTGATTAAAATTCATAAACATTAAATATATAATTGTTATTTTGCAAATTCAAGTTAAATATATTACTAAAAATAAATAAATTATAAATTTTTATTATAAATTTTTATTATTTATAAATAGAAATAATATTATCAATCTCATTTTCTCTTAATTTTATCTGTATGAAAAATAATTTTCATTTACAGTTTATCAAGGACCTATATTTCTATGTTTCTATATTAAACATATTATTTAACTGTGATAAATATTTTATAATTTTTAAAATTTGGATACTTTATCAACACGTATTATTGATAAATATCAATGAAGCATTTTATAGGGCCCAATAGTCTACCTGTTGCTCCACCATAGTATGATATTGTCCACTTTGGGCTAGGCCCGCACGATTTTATTTTTGGGCTCCTTCTCAAAAGGCCTCATACTATATGGAATGGTGGACACTCTTATAAACTAGTCAATGTTCCTTCATTTTACAGATGTAGGAATTGGGATAAATCCCAACAAACCTCCCCTCAAACCAAGGACCACATGTCTCGTGACCTCCTCCCCTCAAGCGATAATCCGTCATCATCTTGTACCGCCATTGGTGCAGATCTCTTTTTGTTTTTGGTCTCCTTCCAAAAGGCCTCATACTATATGGAATGGTGGACACTCTTATAAACTAGCCAATGTTCTTCATTTTACAGATGTGGGAGTGGGAATTGGGATAAATCCTAACAAACCTCCTCTCAAACCAAGGACCACATGTCTCGTGACCTCCTCCCCTCAAGCGATAATCCGTCACCACGCCATTGGTGCAGATCTCTTCTCCATCGCGAGGCACAACACTGAGGGTTGTCCTGCATCAAACCCAGCCGAACCGTTGGTTCTGATACCACTTGTAGGGCCCGATAGTCCACCTATTGCTCCACCATGGTATGATATTGTCCGCTTTGGGCTAGGCCCGCACGGTTTTGTTTTTGGGCTCCTTCCCAAAAGGCCTCATACTATATGGAATGGTGGACACTCTTATAAACTAGCCAATGTTCCTTCATTTTACAGATGTGGGACTTGGGATGAATCCCAACACATTTAAAAGTATCGAAATTAAATAAAATTTTTATAATATTTTTAAAAATCGGGATACTTCACCTCCATATTGATAAAATATCCAAAAATATCATATTAGATACGAATATATGAAACAAATTAAAGTATCAATGCTTCATTTATACATGATTCAACAGGAACTAGAAAGCATGATCTATATACATTAAAACCAGAATATATATGCAATTATATAAACTCATAGACAGTAACCGCACATTTCCTTCTTTGCTGAAGCATAACATATCATTATCTTCAACTATTAATCTTTTTCTTCTGATCAAAATAAAGAATTCAAATTCTTATTACTTCAAAATGCATTAGATAGGATAGGGGAGCTCAATTTTCTTAAGTGAAAATTTTATCATGGATCGAAAGACAATCGGCAACAGCAATTATAAGACAGCTATATAATTAAGTGGATGTTATTCATGGCAACAAAATGGAATCAAGAGCAGGTCAATTACACACCCTGTGTTTAAAACAAGAGTATGACCAATGCGATGAACGGCAATTGATAATCGAGCCTTCGAATATGACATTTTAAATATCTGCTTCAAAATGTCTGCTGGGGCAATGACATCAATCTTATCGCCATAAACAACCAAGCCAGACACTGCAAGGGCCTCAAATTTTCTATTGAAATTTGATGCAACAGCAGTGCCTTCCCAATGAAAATCTGTTACCAACAAATTGAGTTTTCAAAACAACAAAAGGCACAAGTAATATCGAATGTATGAATCTATGATAAAGAAATGGAAACCAGTGTAAATATGTAAGCATTCATCTGTATTTTACGATAGCACTCATACATCTGTGTTTCATTACAGCACTGTTTCTTTGACCAATAATGAGAACAGTATCAACCCAGGAAGAAGGAACTATAGATTTAACTCTCTCAATGTGCTGGAAAAGAAAAAAATACAAAGGAGAAAAAAAAAAAAAAAAAGATTATGCAGCTCTATGAAGATTTGCAGTTCTCTCCAAATTTCCCGATAAATAGCATTAGGAACAAAACAATTGATTACATACTTAAAAATTAAAATAATTGATTATTTTTCTCTTTGTTGTTTTTAAGGGAAAAAACATATCTCAGTAATAATTGGTTAAATGAGGAAATAACAGATTTTTGACATTTCGGAAATACATGCCATCTGTAAAATCGATTAAGTAGTAAAGTAATCAATTATATTGTTCTTGATTCAAACTCTAGAGTTAATAAACAAAATAATCGGTAATTTGAAGCAAATAATCAATCATTTCAGTTGCATCTATAAAATGACAATTTTTCGCTCCTTTTCAAAGAGTGACTTCAAAAACTTTTTCTAAGGAATTGTAACGTGAGAGAACTGTGAAAAGCTTCAACCAAGTACTACGTCACGGATTATCGATATTTTTCATTATATCAAAGCAAAGGTTTTTTATGAAGCTTGATCAAGATTCAATAGGGGTCGCTAGCTAAGGTTTTTCAATGGTGTAAATTTCACAAGGATAAGGTGATATCTCCACTTTGCTTCATCTAAGTGTTCTTCTTATGGTTGTGTTGTATTATGTTTCCACAAGTGAAAAAAATGTTCTTGAGGGTTTCAAGAAACTTTGGGTTTTGTGTTTGTCAATTGTGTGTGTGCAATTGAGTGTTAGTAGAAAAAACAATTGTTGATAGCGAAAAATCTCAACTTTTTTGATTAGGGATTAGATGTAGATCACTGTGGTGTGATTGAACCAAGATAAATTGTTTTGTTTTCTTCTCATTATATATCTATCTCTCAACTTTACATTCTGAAAACTGGAAAGGGATAAAATAAGTAATTACCTTTATAGAAGTCATTTTGTTTCGAAGACTTTCTTCTATTTGATCACTTGCCATGTGAAAAGGAAGGTCAAATACGTCCTGCAAGTAAAAACCTCACTAATTTCATAAAGCAGTTGGACATGGAGAACAAAGTATGAAAAATTAATGACCTTCCATACCATTTTT